AACAACACGTACGTTTCAAGTATTATGGAAGGTGTAAGCCACTTGCTTTTACAGCTTCTGGTTGTGAGCTGTGCCAAATTTTTCTGTAATAAATTGATCTCACTAGAAAAAAGATATGAACAAGTGCATTATTTGATTCGTTATAGATTTCATTTGATGAATTGTCTTCATCACCCAGTTGATCGAATCAAATAAATAATGCTGAGGGTGCATTGACTTCAGACCTAAACGTAGCAGCTAAAAAAGCGTTTCGCCACCGCCCGACTATAGATTTAATTAAGTGTGAGTAAATTATGAATTTTCTTGCAGGTCTTTTTAGTAGTGCTTGATAAAGTATGACCACATCATGAATAGTTGAACAAATATCTTGTGCTACATCAACAAAATCAAGTGGATGAATAGACAAATTTAATGAACACATACTACCTATCTCGAATTAAATTTAAATTGTACATTATGTCAGTCACTTTCAAAAACAAGATCAGTGTTCAGTGCTAATTACAGAGATAAAAATAATAGATTAAACCAAACATACATATATGAATGTATGTGTTCTCGTCTTTACTGATCATGTTAACATTTAAAAAATATCAGCAAAATTGCTGGATGTCGTTGGAGAATTGACATTTCTTCAGCAAAGACTGCATCGTAAAGAGACAGAAGGACCTGTTAAATCTCACAATGTATCGTACCCGTCTAATTGTCAAAAATCTGGCTTGCTTCTCTGGCAGTTTGTGTATCTCCGATTCAATCGTCTTCAAGATTTACCCACGTGCATGTTTGCTTGTCTGAGATCACATGTTTGTTGAATAGTTCCACAAAGAACCAATCAAAAAAATTCTCTTGTGATCATGAAAAAAGCACTCTGTTTAAATTTAAAAACACTTAAATATTATAATGACTTTTTAGTAGTGAAGAAAATAATTTTTATCATGACAACATAAAGATAACTTTTATTTAAATAATAATTGATACCATCTCGATGCATTTTTTTTCACATTCATTTAAGACATACTTGAACATATATTTCACGAAAAAAGGCAAACAACAAAAAAGAAATGTTAAGATGATGAAATAGGTACAATGCCTTCTGTTGTTATTCTCGATTCATTTTTATGATGGCTTGGTTGAATTGATTTCGGTACACTGCCTATTACAGGAATAACTTGTTCACCACTTGATGCTTCCATTTTCAACTAAATACGAAATAAATAAAAAACAAATTCAATGTACACAAAAAAAAAACAATTGTTTTTATACTTTTAAAGGATCCGTTTCATCATTTGAATCTCCAGTGGCACACCACATATGACAAAAAGTAGGCATTAGAAGTGATAAAGTAAATAAAATGCCTCCACCTACAACACAACATATGCCAATTAAACGGCAAGTTTCTAAATTAGCATTATAAGCAAGTGCTTGTCGGTCAACAATCATAATTTGAGAATTTTGAGATAATGACTCATCAGCATTTATTCTTTTTCGTGGAAGAACAAAACCAATTATAAGTAGAAAGAAACCACATATAACTAATGATGTACCAAACCACAGTAATATTTTCCACCAACGACTAGAGAATCTTGGATGACTAGATGGTATTAAATACCTAGATACAATTTAAACTTTAGTTCAGAAATAATTTATTTTTGAGTTAATAATATTTTCATCAAATTTATCATTGAATATAAAATCTAAACTAGATTAATGAGTTATATGTAAATAAAACTTACTTATGTTGATTATCTCCTTGTTGTCCATGGTCACCTTGTCGATCATAAAATTTATCAAGATAAGATCGAATACCAAAATATCGCATACAGTCAGCTCCAACATCCATATTTGTTCTATTTTAGTAAAGATGACTAATTTATTAATATACGTAATAATATTTAATTGAGATATTTTAAAGAAATATGTTTGATCTGTTATTCTTTCACTGATAATGAAAAGTAACTGGAGTTTATTAAAAGTTTCTTTATTATTGCTTCTTGGTTAGTTGTGCTGATTATTATTCATTCTATCACGATATGCTACACCCATGGGTCGTGTCTTTCCAGTAGTTCCGTTCGAGTTTTTGAGACAAAGAAAAAAAAAGAGGAAACAATATGTTTTTTTTTCTTACTTCGCAAAAGACTCTCGAAAGAAAAAAGAAAAATATCGTCGTTTTTTTTTCTCCACTCTCTTTAGCTCTTCTTCGCCCACATTCTTTATATATCTTTCTGCTATATTAATGCTTTCGTGTGTGCGCGTTCAACATTTTTCCTTCACTGTCTTTTCTATAGTTCTTGTTTTTTCTCGTTACTTTTTGTGTTGGATGGAATGCAAAAAAAAAACGCTAATGCTCCGCCCACATCTATCCACCCACCTATCTGGCATCAATGAAATTTTTGCTTTTCTGACAGTAAGAGGACGCAAAGAAGGAGACATACTTAAATCTGCGGTTCATGTCAATTACTTCTAAAAATGAACTGGAATAGAATATATGCGCATATTTTTTGACTTTTTTGCTTTTTTTTTTGCATGTCTTTCGTAATTAACTCTAGTTAATTAATTGAAATATAACTTTTGTCACGATTTAGTTTTTGAAAAATAATTGTTTACAATAATTATTGTTCTGTCTAATAGAAAAATTCATCGATTAATTAGACCAAAATTAAAATCTAATTGATAATACGTATATTAATAGTGTCATATTGTAATGAACAAAGCATTTTTCATATAATTCTTTTTATAATAAGAATTGTCAGTACTATATCAAATTGAAATTTCTCACTGATAATAAATTGTTGATTTTATAGAATGCTTAGTTTTTTGAATTTAGAATATGAACTATAAATAGAAAATCTTTTTATTGCAAAGTTCATAAAGACAACACGATCACATAATGCAAAGGCCAACATAAGTACTTTTTTTTAAAAAGTATATACGAATAATAATGTATTAATCATTACTAAGAGAATATCTATGTATGATCGTGTTTATTGTTAAATCATTCTGTTATTAAGAGTATCACTTCATCAATTTCCAAAATTAATGTGAAAACTAAACGATGAATATAATGTAGCAAATAAAGAAAAATTTAAGCAAAATACTTCAATAGAGATTACAAATTGTATATACTAATTTTTCATTATATATAAAATTATCCAAATAATACGTGTTGACATTGTTTTGATGACATTGCAATATATTTTTTCAATCATATTACATTCTATGATTGAAAAAATTCTGAAGATATGGACGATTATGTTAAAACTATCTTATTACTATTAGCGATACAAGAATATGAAATAGGAGATAAATATAAATCATCTAAAGATGATTGTTATTGATTTTTTTTTCAAAGGTAACCTTCAATAAGATAAAATATGTTCTCATCGAATAAAGCAAGTTTTACGACTGAACTTAAAAATATTAACATTATCATTTCATGTAGACAAGTAAATTTGTCTTAACTAGGTATATGAGTGTAAAGCAAAATTACTAGGCAATTCACATTTTTTATTAATGAGTAAACAATCTTAAAGATTTATTTTCACTATCTGTAAAGATTAAGATACGATAGCAAGTCATATTTTATTTATTAACATAAGAAAATATTTACTCTTTTCAGTTATTAAAATTTTGACATGGAGATATACCAGATCAAATGATATTTTTCATCTGTCCTAGTAAAGGCAAAAACACGAGTCTTTTTGACATTTATTATAAATAGGCTGGATGGGAAAAAAGCAACTAACTGTTCGATATAAAAATGTAATCAATGAAACGGGAATTATAGTGGAAGTAAAGAACGACTATGACGTCAAGAATAAATGTGATAAAATAAATGCCTGATGAATAAAACAAAGAAAAAAGAAAGTATTTTATCAAAGTACATGTCATTCAAAGTTGCATTTTTATTCTAATTATAGATATAGATTAAGAATTATAAAGAGATAGAAAGCTATGTGTTAATCCATCGATCAAGTAAAAGTCTCAGGATTGGTTTGAAACGAAACATAATTTTAAAAAAAATTTCACAATCGATTTTTTATTGCTATTGAAAAATCTCAGACAAGAACAATCATTTCGTTTCGAATAATCAACCATTATGAAATATAATGTTATTATTAAACTTCTTTGACTAAATACTGTCATAGAATTACTCAAGCACATACTTATAACATTTCACCGAGATATATTCATTAGTCGATAGTGAAGTATATAAATTTACTCTTACTTTATATTTAATGATTCCACATAACATTTCTTTGTGTAGGCGAATAAAATCTAATGATGATCCTTATTAACTATATCTCATTTGCAACATATTATGATATTAAAAAGAAAAGCCTATTTTAAAAATTCTGTTAAAAACTTCAATTCTAAAAGAGGTTTCAAGTTTAACATCGTTAATTTTGCTTATCATTCTATACAATATTTTCATTAAAAAAGAACAGCGGAAAAGTTTTTACTTAACATGATTAAGAAAGAATTTAGATAGTCTATAAATATGAATTACTCATATTTTAAATAATGAGATTGTGCATTTACCGAATTACTTTTCGTATGACAATATAGTTTTACTATTCTATAAGCATTCATAATTGTTCAGACCTACCGTTGTTTTGTCAGAAATTTATTGATTCATACTGAAAAATTTCATGTAGTGAAGTACACATAGTTGTTTGTATATGGTTGTATGGATATCAATCTATAAATTAAACAGTACATAGTCTATAGGTATTTAGTTTTTCTATTATAGATTAAAGTCTATGGATTTTTTTTGTCAGATTTAAGAATACTCAAACATTAGTCTTAACTTTACTCAGATAGTCAATTAAATCATTATATTAAATGGAGTTTTTTGATTACTTTATATTCTATTAGTTATAATATTCAAACATAATTATTCAGATGAAAAATTGATACAGATGAAAGAAATTCCGATGAATTAAATTTAAATATTTATCAGAATGAAGTTTTACACAAAAGTGACCAAAACGATACGTTGATGTTCAGTGACAAAAGCTAAGATAATGATCATTTAATCCATGAATATTATTGACACATTGACGACGAAATTTATATAATGGAATGTGTTGATAAACTGTCCGATGTTCATTATTCATGTTTTCACAACGACCACGATCAGGACAAAATCCAGGATGTTCAAATTCATTTGAATGTCTGAGATCATTTTCAATCAATTCACATTTACTACCATACGAACATTTTTGAGGATGCCTGAACCAAAGCATATGTTGGCTATCATCTTTGTGTTTACATGGTGTCATATTATGTGCGTATGGACATAAAGGTGGATGTGAATATTCACGAGAATGCTGTTCATTTTTCAAGTCATTACATTTTTCTCCATAAAGGCATAGGTTCAAATGAAAGATTCTAATATCACTTAATGTTATTTTCATAGTTGTTTGATTTAGAATTCGCCAAGATCCAATCATCATGTCGACAAGTTTATGTCGTTTTGGTTCTTTGTCTAAAGTATCGAGCAATTTTTGAAAAGGACGAAACTTTTCAATTGGATTAAGATTTTGGCCTGTATTATGATCATCAATAATAGCAAAAATAGATATATTTAAAATATCCAGCGTAGTGTTCAATAACTGATTTGAATATTGCTGCAACATGCTTTGGTGGATTTCTAAACGTGCCGCAACCAAAGACAGATAGGACGAGACGTGCATGTTTTTGATGATACGCAATAGCAAATATGTTTGCAATTTTTTTTTCGCATACCAATAGAATATTTTGAAGTGAGAAGATTATTCTCAACTTTTGAATCGCGATAGTGAGACATTACAATAGCACACACATCGTACACAGGTATTTCCACGAAAGCATAGCCAGTATTTTCGGGTTGCCGAAAAACTGTCAATCCCAATGTATAAATTGCTCCGAACTCATCCATTGGATCTAGAGTACCATGTTCAGCTAAAGATTCTAGTTCACAATTCGAATTACAATAGAACCGAGCCGTTGGTTTTCCGTCATGTAGTTCAAGATCGAGGCTTTGAAAGTAATTCGAACGACGAAAAAGTGCCTCTTCTTGAGTTTCACTACCTCGTTTGTAGCCACTACCTGGATACTTCGTATTAGCCATATTGAGAAGAACTGGTCGACAGCCTTTGCTTACTAAATCCTGGTAAACTATCAAACAATCCTCATTGACTACTCTAACCGATGTCGGTGCATAAGGAAATTCTGTTGCATGTGACAACAAAGTTATCTTAACATGTTGCAACTTTGACTTATGCTTATAAAGAATAGTTTTTAATCGATCCGGTTTTAATGTGATTTCTTTTTCACCAATATAATAAGAACCTCTTTTTACTACTCCAGTCGTATTCAACATTACTGTCATTTGTAATAGATGCTGTTGAAGGTTGCATAGGTTTTCATATTTGTCTTGATTTTTTCTATGAATCTTATGGTCATCCGATGCAGTGTTTTATCCAGGATTTTTTTTCCGGAGGGGCGATTTGGAATTTCGGGGGGGCGAAAAATTATTTCCGGGAGGGCAAGCCACGTGTTCATAGCACGATGATCACAAGTTTCGGGGGGGCGAACTCGATTTTCGGGGGGGCGCGGCCCCCCCGAGCACCCCTCTGGATAAAACACTGATCCGATGTCCAACGGCGAAACTGTTCTAAAAGTGCTCTTGAATTCCATTGAAGTCGAAATATATGATGTTAAGGATTAGAAACAAATGGCATTATGTCGGGTTTATAATCGCACATTTCTGTTTCGTACCAATTTTCAGCATCAAGTTCATTATTTTCAGGGATAGTTGAAAATGTATAAGATTCAATAAACACTACATGATCGTCAATACGTAAAGCACCTTGATCAATACATTTCTTATAAATATTTTTATCCGAAAGTTCGAGAATGATATGCTCATGACTTGGCAATAGTTTGACAACGGTACCACCAAAGGTTTTATGATCTCGAATGCATGATGTTGGTATGTCTTTAGGCACGGGTCGTATCAAGAGGTGGCAAGCAAGATCATCTTTCTTCATAGTAACTCATCCATCTAACAGAATTGAACTATGTACTGCTCACATTCGAACTGTACCTGATGTTATTACAAAGTATTGCCACTCACTTTTTTATATTGGATATGTATGATTCTGTCGACATGTATGTATCAGAAGTTTGACTGCAAATAGCTTCTTTTAATCAAGCCAAAATTATCGTTCTTGGTATAAATCTTGAAAGAAAGCGCAATCAGCTCGAAAATAGACGATTGCAAGACGATTTTCGACTAAGAATACCCTAATTGACGAAGCCATGAGTAGTTCATATTGCGGTTGGGATTATACATTATATAGATCAACCCATCGTCGGTATACATTATTAGTTGATGGAAGATGTTTCATATCTTTTCCATCGATCACAATATATGAGATAAGCTCGAGTTCATCTACAAATGATACTGTCGTATTTTTGGATGGTTCAAAGTTGACACTGCTTTGTTTTGAATAAAACCATTGAATTTGATAGTTAATTTTTAAAGATATGATTAGGAAGTGCGCACATAGAAAATAAATAGTTTTAGAAAATTTTAATGAACAGTTACTGCGATCTGTAGAGGACGTCAGTTTTTGATCGAAGAAAGTTCTTGAGCTTAGTAGAGCTACTGTAATTTGTAGAGGATGTAAGCTATTGATTAGAGACATTGTTTAAATTTACTAGAGTAGTTACGATCGGTAGACAACATAGGGTTTTTGTTGAGTGAAGATTTTCGTTACAAGACAAATTACTTTAATTGAGTAATGAATGGCATGAGTTTTTATTCAAATATAGATATTTTATATCAAAAGATGTGGTGAAATATAAAGAGGATGTAAACTTTTAACCAAAGAAGTTTTTGGTTGCGATGGTATGCAGAAAACTGTACATGATGTAAAGAATGATATGATGCTTTTTCTATAAATAGTGATTATCAAGTATTATATGAAATAAAAGTATAGATGCATATAACAACTGGTCCTGAAAACAATTTGAGTCTTAAAATAAATTATTATCTTCTATTGAATGTAAGATGAGATTTGAGAAAGAGAACTACATATTGCAGATCGATATTGGCTAGCTCTTTTGTTATTTTTATTGATACAGTTATACTCAAAATGCATCAGCATGAGTCAACGATTTCGGGCTTAGCTAAGAACGGTTTGAATTAAAGTCACGCCGAGAGTTCACAGAGGTTTTATCATAATTTATCGTGTTGACTCAATATTTATTGCGCGTGTAAGGTGGACGAATAGGGGTATATGCATAAGAAAAGATGCTCACTAATGTCCATATTTTAAATCACTCATCTTTGAACATCGTTTTTTGTATTTTTTATTTTTGTATATAAATGCTCTTGCATACCGACTAGTTGACGCCCATTTTATGCTTGATTCCATGTTGTAATTACAATTAGATAGAGCGTTCAAGTTCAAAGAAACCTCATGATATTCATAATAACAATTATGTCGAGTGAACTCCATATATTGCAGTTATTTTTAGAAAATCAAGGAAATTTAATCAGTTGGCGAAAAATACTATAACGTGAAAAGATATCTAGTCTTCCAAAATGGTAAAGTTCAAATTGATTTACGATCACTCAAACAACGATCTGGTTGAAAACTAGAAGAAATATCAAGAAAATACGCACAAATATACGCAATCTATCCTAAATCTATCAGTCGTCTCTCCATGTGCGAACATAAAAGTTTTTGATTGTTTCGAATTGTTCACTTTGTTTCCATTCTTTTATTAAACAGTTCCAAGTCTCCATTCGCTAAGAGTTAGTTATCAAAGAGACAGATTACTTGCAACTGAAATACTTTGCTATTAGTTCAAATGGAAGAGAAAAACAATTTGTCTATCGAATGAAAACTTACTTGTATAGAATGTAACTCAGTCCCTTCCATGAATTTATTGCACATATAATAACAAATCTTACTTACATTCTTTCTTCTTGTTATGTCTTCAAGAGGCGTTTCTTCAGCGCCCTTGAAAGGTGCGATGATTTTCCAAAAATATTATCTATCAGCTGCAGGATGTTTTTAGACACGGCACATCCTTTAAGTCTTTTAGCTTGCTACGATTGTATTGCATGATCTCTCATGGATTTTCATATTTGATGAAAACAATGGAATCACTGATGAATTGACGTTTGAGAGTATCAGCTTGAACGGAATTGCAAGCGGTCTTGACGAGTTTATACAAGTCGTCATTCTGCAAATCGAAAATATTCATTAGTAGTGATTTACGTAGTCATTATTAAAGTTAGTTACCGTCTATACAATGCTGGTGACAGGGAGATGACCGCGAAGCATTGTTCGTTGATATGAAGCAGTTGTACTAAAAGAGATGAACACAACGAACAAAAAAACGCACTCATCTATTGTTTATGATTTACTCACAAGACAGAATTCAATATACTGTCGTTTCAAGTGCATACATGTTTGAATAGTCCCGAGACTACTTCTACATTCAATGCAACTAGCATTCACTGACAATAAGCCATGTGAAAATCATCTGAAGTACTTTCCAAAATAGTAACTATTCTATATATCTCATTGCAAACCATTATGGATGATAGAATCCATCTGTACGATCATTGATGAGCCTAACGATTTTTCATTAACTTCTCGAAGATTTCGGCTTATATCTTCTGATTTGTTAATCACATCTGTCCATTCCTACTGACTTCACGCAGATTTCTCTTGATGACTACTAATTTCTTGTAGATTCGTAGTGATTTCTGAATCATATACGTTGGTTGTTGATGATCTAACTATATTGTGGGTGGATGAGGATGAACAGAAGATCTTCATTTACTCACATTCTCATCCACAAAGTAATTTGAATCTGTTATTCACTGCATACGTTTGGATTTTATTCTTTCTCCCTTTTCTTGTTTTTTTTTGTCAGTATCTGTTCTTCCTTTGATTCATTAATTGGATACTCTTTTATACATGAGTTCGTAAAATTCAATATTTTGAATGCGAGAATAAATAAGCAAAAAAAAGTAATAATGCAAAACTTTACATGTCAATTTTTGCACACATATGAAAAATGAAAGTATATTCTGTTCCACTCCAATATAAGTGTCTGTTTACGTGATTTCTATCTAATATTTGTCTTCAGCATCATCTTCGGTTTGAGATGCATCATCATCTTCTTCTCCATCGTCAAATGATCGATGACGTGTCTCCGGCAAAGTAGCAATCACACCAGCCAATACTACAGTGAGTCCAGAATAAACATAATGCGTAATTCGATCATTTTTTTTGTCGACTGCAGTATTAATAATAGGTGCTACCATCGATCCAAAACTTCCAACAAAGACAAATATACCATTAGCTAAACCTCGCATATATGTTGGAAAAAGTTCGGGAACATAAAGCCAAGAAACTGATACAGCACCACTAACTCCATATTTACCTATTTGTGAAATCACGGTAGCTATGACGGGATAAGAATCCGTTATGAATGGGACTATAAGTACAGAAGCCGCCGTCAACAATGCAAACATAATCAGTGAATATTTTCTTCCCAGTGGTGTAGTAATTACAAGACCGGCAGTGAAGTAACCAATACCTTCGACAACAGCTCCGATGATAAAGTTCGTATAAGGACTCAAAGCATCATTCATCGCACCTAGTCCATATGTAATTTTGGTGTATAGTAACATAGTGACAAATTCAATACAACCACACATGATCAATCTAGGTAAGAAACGTAAAACCTTTTCTCTTTTCTTTCTCTTTGCCTTGGTTTCGTTTTTTTTTACAATACGAGATTCTTCAATTAATTTAGTATAATGTGGATACCATTCACTTTCTTCACGATTATTGGTTTTGGCAATTTTTCGTAAACAAGCTTCAAGTTCATCATATTTCTTTCGACCATACAACCAATAGGGTGATTCTGGAATGAAGTAGAGATAGGGCACAGTGACAGCAAAATAAACGCTCATTAGCCATTTCAAATTAAGCCAATTACGAGCTGCATAGGCAAAGCCAGTGAACATAATTTCTCCTATTGTATATGCAATCATAGCAACACCAGCAGCAAAACTTGTGTGTGAAGATGATGTCA